CAGCTTGAGCTCCTGAGGTGTCAGCCAAGGAAGGTTGTTCAGATTGTGGAGCAGACTGTGAGGAGATCTTCCTGGTATGCTCATCCCGAGGCAGTTCTGCAGACAATGCTCTGCAGTAAGGATGAGGAGGAGAGAAGAGTGGCAGTCAAAAAGATCTTGGATATGAGACTTATGAGAGGATCTGGGCATGACGAATCAGTTGGTGACGATTCCTTCAGGGTCAGGAAGACTCCTGAAGTCAATCTAGGTGCCAAGACCCTCACTGATCTCATAGATCTGGATAACATCCAGGCTGGCAGTGAGCCCCCTCTTACCTGCAGCCTCACCAATGCTCAAGTCAGAGCTTTCCTGGACAACCCTATGCATGTCCCTGCCTGGCCCTCGCACACCCAGAGTATAGAGCGTTGTGTACAGCAAGTGAGTGAGGCCAGCAGTCACGTGTACAGCCAGGAGAGGAGGGAAGGCTATATCCGAGCTCAGGTGGTCAGCAGGGAGGTGATGAGTAGAAACAGCAGCAAGAAAGACATGTTCTCTATGGTGTACAGCAACACCGGGTCGCAGTAGTAAAACCGGTTTTTGTATTTGATGATTTTGTTTTCTAAAGGAATATTAAATTTAATAAATGTGTCAAGATCATTCGTTTCACTATTCTGGATCATTTTCATCCTAATAAATTAACCTGATACATTTACTTTACTTTAAATAAGCTATTTAGTGGTGTTGGTAAAAGGGTGGGAATACTGAATTTTCATAAGATTTCAAGTTAAAATTTACCTAGCAAAAATGAAAACTTTTCAAATCTGAAGATATCACATGATTCTGCACATAGAACTACATCATTAATACCATGGGCCGATCTTTCAAACTCAAAAAAAAAAATTCGCCTCCGAATGACACACCCTATTGCGTAAGCCAAAACTCATGAAAGTGTACTCGAAGAGTCCGAACGGAGTGGTGATGGCTGTCTTCTGGGTATCTGCCGGTGCTACTGGGATCTGGTGGAAAGCACGCTCCAAGTCGATCTTCGAGAAGATAGTCTTGCCATGAAGTTTGTGGTGAAAGTCCTGGACATGCGGAATAGGGTACCTGTCAGGTTTGGTGACGAGATTCAGGGCTCTGTAGTCGCCACACACCCTCCACTCGCCGGGTGTTCGCTTAGGAACCATGTGAAGAGGCGATGCCCAGGGACTCCTTGAAGGGCGAATGATGCCGTCTTGCAGTAGTTTGTTGAATTCTACTTTGGCTGTGTACAGGAGCTCAGGGCGCAGGCGGCGAGGGCGTGAAAAGACTGGTGGTCCTTTGGTTTCGATGTGGTGGAAAATTCCCGACGTAGGTGGTGGGGGTAGGGAGACTCGGGGTGAGAAAAGCTCCTTGAATTCGTCGAGCAGGGAGGAGAACTCGTTGGAAGGCGCAAGACAGGTGATAGCGTCCGTGTGTCTGGCACGAGAACCCTGGATCTTGCGTGCTGTAGGCTCATGAATGAGGCATAGATGACTTGGTTTGACGCCGAGCTTGTGGAAGGTGAGGAAGTCGAAACCAAGGATGGGTTGAGACACGTCTGCTATCACGAATAACCAACGCAGAGTCTTGGGCAGACCGAGGTCTAAGGCGAGGGTGCGTACGCCGTAGGAGGCGATGGAGGTACCGTTGGCAGCGAACAGGTCATACGAGGGTTGCTTTGACTTGTCTCGTAGTGAGGGAGGGATGAGGCTGACCGATGAACCGGTGTCGATGAGGAACTTCTTGCCGGAGGTGCGGTCGGTGACGCGCAGTAATGAGACGCCTGGAGGGACGGAGGCTGAGGCGTCTACCAGCCTCCGGTGTTGCCGTTTCCCGAATAGGTGCAATAGGGCTCACAGTTTCGAGCATTGCGGCCGAAAGTCTGGTGATACCAGCAGAGGGTAAATTTGTTGTGCTGGGGGTTGGCTGCTGTGTGTCGGAACTTGTAGGGCGTAGTGTGTGAGTCAGGAACCGGCGCAGCAGCGGGTATGGAGGAGCAGAACTGCTCAATGGTGTCCATCCTGCGGTTCAAAATTTGCAACAGGTCCTTGATGTCTTGTGAGGTATTGCTCGGCTGAGGGGTGTTGACCCGGCTTACAAGTTCGATGGTAGGTACTGGTGTGACCGTGGAGGCAAGGGGTGCAGCAGCGCACTCGTTAAAAATTCTATCTGCCGCGGTTGCATATAGTTCCGGTGTCGTAGAGTAATCTACTGCGGACAGGATGTTGCGTACTTCTGTGGGTAGCTTTTGTGCGTGAAGCTGGCGCAGGATAGAGTCGGGGAGTCTGTCTGTGTGACGGGAGTTCAGCCGACACATCTCCTCCCAGAGACGTCCCGGGGTTGAGTTCCCGAGGGAGGTAGAGGATAGATCTTGCAGGAGATTGGGGCTGGTCTGTTGATAACACGTCTTCAAGGCAGCCCGCAGGGTAGCGAATTTGTTGTGATCTGGAGGGTTGGAAATGGTTTGTGAGACCCGCGTGGCCACTTCCGTGGGCAAGGCACAGAGCAGGGCGCAATACTTTTGCCCGTCGGTCGCTCGTGAGCCGGCGAGGGCTGCTTCCACATGGTCAAGCCAGTCCTCGACGTTGTGGTTGAAAGTCGGCAGAGAGATCCGTCCGTCCTCCATCCTGTGTGAGTGCTTATCTCCGGGAGTCACCATTGTAGGGGTATCGAGATATTAATGTTGTCTAGCACTCAGGATGGAAGGAAACTCTAATGTGGTTTTCTTGTATAATATATAAGTTATATGAAGACAGTCTGGTGCTGGAGATGCCGTGTGGTGGGGAGCTGCTCAGTAGAAGACGTTCGGTGAGTAGCGTGTTGAAGGAGGTAGATGTGCAGGAGCTTCGTTAGAGAAGATGTTGCCTGTTGCTGGCCTCCTGGTTGAATAAATGTTAACAGCTAGGAGCTTGCTGGAGGAGGTGTTGCTTGTTCAGGAAAATGGGCAGAATGAATCTCAATGGAGAGACAGAGCTTATATACCCAGCAGCCGCTATGAGTCATGTTGGGAAAACCCGAGAAGTCGCCGGTGAATAGTTTCGTTGCTAAGATACGGTAACATCTGGGGACAGCTCTCGCTTGGTTGCTAGGCAACGGCACGTTGGAATGTGATAGCAGGTGGTGGCGGTGCTACGCAGTTTGTAGGGGAGACGTCCACTACAGGTGTATAGGGCCATGGATGCTTGAATATCCCACCATAATGCTTGCGCGGTACATACAATGACACCACGCTTGCGGCACTGGACTGCACCAGCTGATATATGAATAATTTAATATCAGTTTTCATGAAAAACAAATGGCTCTCAAAACATGATAGTTGAAGTGATAAAGGCGAAAAATACAGCAAGTTGTTTTCACCGTAACCTTCGTTTTTAAGCCACTTATTAATTATTGGCATTTTTGTCTGAGTTAATAGGTGAAAGAAGAATATTAGGGATTGAAGAAAAGTGGTGAAACTGAAATACAGGTAGGAGTAGAAAGAACATGGGCTCAACCAGATCGCTCAGTCTTATCAATTTTTTTTATATAATTCCCTCGGGTCGTCAGACCTTTGTATTAGTATTGGTTTATTTGTATCGTGCTGCTTATTATACTTCTTACTTTTTTTTTTTTTTTTACTGTGGTGGAGTTAGTGGGTCCTTCCAGGTCCTTGTGTGGCTGGGAGGGTTGTAACTTTTTTTTTTTTGCTTAGGTATTAGTTCAATTTCAATTTCAATTGTTTATTCCTTGATAGAGGAAGCGGGATCCTAGTGCTGTGTTAGCTAAATGTTAGTTTTGTTAGTCTAAAGGCACACTGTATGGAGAGGCCTGCCAGGTTCTTAGTGGAGCTGGTAGGTCACTCTCATCTTTCATTCTCTCTATTAATGTTTTATGTGTATATTGGGGAAGGAGATGGTTCAATTACTTCCTTTTTGGCTGATTTAAACCAACCGTGTTCTTGGATTTCTTCATTACAGTATCTATAATACTTATCCACTTTTTGGTAAGTTTCTGTGTTGAGTTCAGTCACTTTGTTCCAAATATTTGCGGCTTTGTTATGTATTTCTACATTGATTGCGAGGAGGTTTGCTCTCTTGTGTAGCTGTTCATTATTGATGTGGTCTGTATATTTTATGTAATAAATAAATCTGAGGGCTTTATTTTGTACTGTTTGTAACCTTTTAATGCTCGTTTTACTAAGGGTGTTCAATGGGATGGGTGGCTTATTATCGGTATACTGTAATGTATACAGCTCCACGTGGCTCTGCAAATGGACTACTGTTAGTACCACTGCTATTAATGTTAACATAGCAATTATGATAATAATAGTAATAATAATACTAATAATAATAATAATACTAATAATAATAATAATAATAATAATAATAATAATAATAATAACAATTAATAAATCACCTAAGTAAGAAATGGGGAGAGACAGTCAGTGCAGAGATTTGGTTATGGTTAAAAACTTCAAAATAGAACGATGAAATAAAAAAAAATGGAAAGACCGTTTCAAGAATCATGGACGTGTGAACAGACTTCTTTGTGCAGGTAGGTGAGTCTCAGTTTCCACTAACTGCTACCTGTCATTACTTTTTACTGTAATCTAGAAACCTACCTTTGGTTGAATTCACTTAGTGCACTGTTAATGTATACACATGCTGAACCAACCAATGTGATCTTGAATAACGATTTTATTGGAAAAAATATAACCTTCACCGAAAACCTTACTGAAAGTATGCACTGAACACTAGCTAACACAGAGGTGGAAATAGCTTTGTTTTTATGAAGATTTTAAACATATATCAAATTATGTCGACAAATTATATAATTATTAAAATCCCTTTTTTTTGTCGGTCTTACAAATATGAATGTGTAAATATAGCATTAGCATGAAGCCATATTTATATCCATTATAATCTGAAATAATTAAAAAAATAGAGCTCATTTGATAATTGTTAAACACCCAATTCAATGTGCAATTAATTACATAACTAATGGCGCTAGCTTAACCCTTTTGTTTGCTGTTTGAAATGAGCGCTCACGAACCTGTCATAGAAGTGCTGCCAACAGATGGCAGCAGGAACATGGCTCACATGGGGATGCGCGCCGGTCTAGCCTCGCTTGTGTCTGCCAGTCGATCACTGGTGAAGAATTCGTCACCAAAACGGTTCAAGTCTTCCCCATACATTCCAGAAACATCCAGAGGTATGGCTTACAGTATCTTCGAGAAGGGATGCCCTAATACCACCGACTTCAGGGTGTTCATCAGTAAGTAGCGGCTTGTTTATGCCTGTTTTTAGTAATCTAAATACTGATACGGAGGTCTAGCCAGTTGCTTGTTAGTGACTAGGCGGGATATCATTTGGAAATTTCTTTAAGATACCTCTATTGCCATGGTCATTCTGACGTAATTTTACAGGAAAGTTTACCTATATAATGCATCCGTAAAGAAAAAGACTTGTCAATCAGGAAACAAACAAAAAGAATAAATAATATACAGTACTGTAGGTCCGGGAGAGCATGGTTTACAACATTGACAATTAATTTATTATCGTTTCGTTCTCGGATTTATTTTTAATTCTTAAGTCTAGCGTACAATATAAGGACTATGCATCAAAATGTTCTGGAATATTCGAAAATAGAGAGTATGACGTTTGTATAATTGTATTTAAATGGACGAATCGGTCTTTTATATACTTTACCCGCGGGAGATTTTGAAGTTAAGTAACCTGCCAGGTTGTCATGTTAAAAGTTTCGTTTAATTTTAGATTATACGACCCGAGTATGATTAAAATCAATTTAGGGGCCTTTTACAACTATTCACATTTTCATGAACGTACAAACCGTAGATCTATATTTTCCTTCCACGATATCAACAGCTCAAAAGACCAGGAAGGTCGTTTAAAAGTGATTATTCATTATTTTTTTAAATAAGAGGGTGAATATTAACGTGTCTTGAAAAGTGTACTCTTATACACTTGTGAGAATGTTGATAATTGTAAACAGTTGGAAATGCTGTAAAAATGCCGTAACTCTCATATCTGGGGAGGTTCTTCTGTCCAACGATTCCACCCTAACAGTTTTGATTGATACGCTTATTGAGGGTCTTTTTTGTATCAATAAACGTATCAATCAAAACTGTTAGATAGGGTGGAATCAAAGGCAATTTCGTCTGATTAACTCTCATCCTTTAGTTGATAATCTCTCTTCCCTTTCTCTTCGCCGCAATGTTGCTTCACTCTATTTTACAGGTACTTTAACGGGCAATGTTCGGTGGATTTGGCATCCTGTGTACCGCCGGCTGGCCGTGGGCTCATGACAATTGTCTTGCCCGCAGTGTCTACCGTTTCTGTGCAGAGGTCGGTCACACTAGAATAACCCGTTATAGTACATCCTTCTTTCCTCACACAGCCAAACTGTGGAATACTCTGCCTTCTTGTATTTCTTTCTGCCTCACTTCAAAAAGCTGGTTTTCCGGCATCTTCGTGGTGTAGGTTAACATAGTCTTTTTCTCTTTATTTTTAATTTCTTTTTACTCTTTATACCCCCCCCTCTCCCCCAGGTCTAGTTGGTCGATGACCTGCCCGGCTGGGCTATTCCCCGTATATATATAAAAAAGAAAAAAGTGGTCCAGGGAAGTGGTACGCATGTTTGGTTACTCAGTATCCCTTAAGATAAGATTTTTTTAAATTATTTATATAGTTTAGACACTTCTGTGTACAGTCGCCACAGTAATTTTAGAAATTTCGATATATTATTAAAAAATCCACGTTAGTTTATTGTTGATGCATATTGTTTTGGAATATAACGAGTAGACATGAAACTGGTTGTGGAGTCCAAGTGTCTGATTTCTAATTGCGGGTGATAAGGTTCAGGAGTTCGTAAATACGTTGATAGAAACTGTACCAAGTAACGGCATATTAATCATGGAATATTGAGGAATAAGTTTTGGGGGTATTGGTATTGATTCATTCCCCACCCAACCACCCATTCTCCCCAACCACCACCCAACCACCCTGTCTCCCCAACCCCCACCCAACTACCCTGTCTCCCCAACCCACACCCAACCACCCTGTCCAACCCCCACCCAACCATACTGTCTCCCAATCCCCACCCAGCAGCTACCCCACACCCATGCCCTCAAGCCCCAGCCCACCCGTGTCCGCTCCACAACCCCCCACCCAACCACCCTGTCTCCCCAGCCCCACCCAACCCCCCTGGCTCTCCCACCCCACCCCAGCCACCCCTGTCTCTAGCCTGTACCCTGTCCCAACCCCCACCCAGCCACCCTGTCTCCCCAAGCCCCACCCAACCACCCTGTGGCTCTCCCCAGCCCCCACCCAACCACCCTGTCCCCAACCCCCCACCCAACCAATGTCTCCCCTACCCCTGTCTCCCCACCCAACCACCCTGTCCCCCCCACCCAGCTCCCATACCACCCCCAACCACCCCGTCTCCCCCAACCACCCGGTCTCCCACAAACCCACCCAACCACCTGTCTCCTCAGCCCCCTGCCCAACCACTGCTCTCAAACCCCACCCAACCACCTGCGTCTCTCCCCCAACCCCCACCCAACCACCCAGCCCCAACCACCTGTCTCCCCAACCCACAACCACCAATGTCTCAACCCACATTCCCCAGCCCCCCTACCCCAACCACCCCCCAACTCACCCCCTACCCAACCAATCTGGTTTCAACCCCAACCCCCCACCCAACCACCCTGTCTCCCCACCCCCACCATGTCAGCCACCTGTCTCCCACCCCCACCCCCTGTCTCCCCCAGCCCCCACCCAACCACCCTGTCTCCCCAACCCCCACCCAGCCACCTGTCTCCCCCAGCCCCTGCCCCACCCAGCCACCCTGTCTCCCCAGCCCCCCCACCCATACCCGCTCCCCCAGCCCCCACCCAACCTTGTCAACCCCACCGTCTCAACCACCCAATCTCCCCCACCCTTGTCTCCCACCCAGCCACCTGTCCTCCTCAGCCCCTACCCAGCTTCACCCCCACCCAACCACCCTGTCTCCCCCAACCCCACCCAGCTATTCCGGCTCCCAACCCCCACCTAACTCCCCACCCACACCCAACCACCCCAACCCCCACCCAAACCATGCTGTCTCCCCAGCCCCACCCAACCACCCGTCTCCCCAACCACCTGGTCTCCCCAAACCCACCCAACCACCTGTCTCCCAAGCCCCCACCCAGCCACCCCTGTCTCCCCTCAACCCCCACACCCAGCCACCTAACTCCCCAGCCCCCCCACCCCAACCACCCTGTCTCCCACAACCCCCACCCCCACCCAACCACCCTGTCTCCCCAGCCCCACCCAGCCACCCTGTCTCCCCCCCCACCCAGCCCCCTGTCTCTGACCCAACCACCCTGTCTCCCCAGCCCCCAACCCCCACCCAGCCACCCTGTCTCCCCAGCCCCCACCCCAACCACCCTGTCTCCCCAACCCCCCCACCCAGCCACCCTGTCTCCCCCAACCCCCACCCAGCCACCCTGTCTCCCCAGCCCCCACCCAACCACCCTGTCTCCCCAGCCCCACCCAACCACCTGTCTCTCCCAGCCCCTGTCTCCCCAACCCCCACCCAACCAATCTCTGTCCTGTCTCCCCTGTCTCCCCAACCCCACCCAGCTATCCTGTCTCCCCTCGTCATCCACCCAGCTATCCTGTCTTCCCAACCCCCACCCAACACCCCACACCTGTCTCCCCAGCCCCACCCCATCCTGTCTCCCCCACCAATCTCCACTCATCTATCTGTCTCGTCATCCCCCTACCCAACCACCCTGTCTCCCCAACCCACCCCAACCACCCTGTCCACCCCACCCATGCCGGTCTCCACAACCCCCACCCAGCCCACCTGGATGTCCAACCCACCCAACCACCCTGTCTCCTCAGCTTCACCCAGCCACACCACCCTCCCCCAGCCCCCCACCCAGCCACCCGTCTCCCCAACCCCTACCCAGCCACCTGTGCTCCCCAACCCACCCCAACCACCTGTCCCAGCCCCCACCCAACCATACCCTGTCTCTCTACCCACCCACCCCCTCCCCAACCCCCACCCAACCACCCTGTCCCCAACCCCACCCAAGCACCCTGTCTCCCCCAGCCCCCACCCAGACACCTGTCCCCCAGCCCCCACCCAAGCACCCCTGTCTCCTGGCCCCCCACCCAACCACCCTGTGCCACCCAACTCCCCTGTCTCCCCAGCCCCACCCAAGTCACCCCTTGCCCCCCCCATCCCACCCAGCCACCCCTGTCTCCCCAGCCCCCACCCAACCACCCTGTCTCCCCAGCCCCCACCCAGGTCTCCCCAGCCCCCACCCAACCACCGGTCTCCCAACCCCAAGCCCCCACCCAGCCACCCTGTCTCAACCCCTGACCAACCACCTGTCTCCCCAACCCCCACCCAACCATCCGTCCCTGAAGCCCCCCCCACCCAACCACCCTCTGTCTCCAACCCCCACCCAGCCACCTGTCTCCCAACCCACACCCAACCACCCTGTCCAACCCCAAGCAACCATACTGTCTCCCCAGCCCCTACCCATACTGTCTGCCCAACCCCCACCCAGCCACCCTCCCCAAACCACCCCGGTGTCTCCCCAAACCCACCCAACCACCCTGTCTCCTCAACCCCTACCCAACCACCCTGTCTCCTCAACCCTTGCCCAACCACCTGTCTCCCCCAACCCCGCACCCACCCTGTCTCCCCAGCCCCACCCAACCACCCTGTGCTCCCCAACCCCCACCCAACCACCCTGTCCCCAGCCCCCCACACCCAGCCACCTGTGCTACCCCCCACACCCAACCACCTGTCTCCCCAGCCCCACCCAACCACCCTACCTGTCTCCCAATCCCCACCCAACCACCTACTGTTACAATCCCAAGCACCCCTTCCCCAACCCCACCCAGCATCCCCTCCCCCAACCCCCATTAGCCTATGCTCACAACCCCCCCACCCAGCCACCCTGTCTCCCCCACCCCCACCCAACCACCTGTCTCCCCAGCCCCCACCCAGCCACCTGTCTCCCCAACCCCTGCCCCCCCTGTTCCCCCCCACCCTCCCCAACCCCCACTGTGTCTCCCCAACCCCCCCACCCAACCACCCCTTCCCCCTTCCCACCCCAGCCACCCCTGTCTCCCCAGCCCCCACCCAACCACCCTGGCTTGTCAACCCCACCCAGCCACCCTGTCTCCCCAGCCCCCCACCCAACCACCCTGCTGGCTGCAGCCCACACCCAGCCACCCTGTCTCCCCAGCCCCCAC